ACACTTTTCATTGAGCGGTCCGTACCCTAGCACGAACAAAATCGAACTCCTTACTCTTGTGTTGTGATGTTTAATAGTTTACCAAAGTATATACAATCAATGTCTAAACTATCTAGTTCTGTCGTTAATTACTTGGTAGAGATAGAACCATATGTTTTAACAGATTATTTAGGGTACAATAACCATCACGGTGTGGTTTAAAAAAGTTAGATGTAAAGTTCGAGAACCCCAAAGTTATAAACAGGGAATGATTCTACATCGTTTCAATAAATAATTAATGAAAAAATTAAAATATTTCCCTGAGCGCATTTTTTTTTTCGCCTTATTTAATATAAAAACATTATTTAAGAGGTTAGATACACTAACTACGTCAAATTTTTACGTTTTTTTTTTCAAAGACTGGTTTATTTATTTTGATTTATTTTGATATAAATATTTTGACTTATTTCAAAAAGTTACGTAATCACAGGCGCCTGTTTCCTCTTTATTTTAGTGTGTCTTGAGACTCAGTACTATTAACATCAAAAGCGAGCTATTTAAGTATTAAAATTTAATAATATTTAAAAAATGAAACCAATAAATTTAAGTCATAAGCAACCACTATCACACAGTGGGTGTCGTTTAATTATGTCTATTATGTAAAACGAAGAAGAAAGTTCTTTTCGAAATAACGGATACCTTAGAAAAATTGATACTTTTGATATAATATATATATTATGTTATATTTAATTCATTTTAGACCTTTTTTTTTGTAATAAAAGATTTTTTTATAAAAATAGGAAACATATTTTATTTTATAAAAAGAAACAATTTTGTGTTTAAACTATATCTAAGTTTGATATATACATTATAACTAATAAAAGGTGTCTACTATTGTATTCACATACAGATTTAAGTAATTTTTCTGCATATTGAGGATGCGATTTTTTTACTTTGTATTTATTCCATATTTTATTAAAGTCTGAGTGAGATAATTCCACCACTTGTTCTGAATAAAACCTTAACCCTTTGTCGTTTTGTTTATAAAAATCTTCTATGTGGAAAAATACTGTGTGAACCTAAGGCGTTACGTTTATGTCTAAACTCATATAACTTTCTCTAAATATCGCAATCTTTTCAAGATATCCTTCTTTTAATTTGATTGAGAAACAAAAATCGACAACGTTCTTGAATGATTCGAAATATTTTTTACATATTTCATACAAGAAAAGTTACTTGTTGAAGAGCAAATTTCACGTAGAATGTCAACATTGTTCAATAATATTTTACTCGAATTTTGACGTCTCAAATAGTATATTATGTATCAAGTATATAAACGCCATTTTAGTTACGAGTTTTATTAAGCACAAGCGAAGCTTGCAAGCGAGTGTTTAATAAAAACGAGTGTCTAGATAAGTTTATAAAACGAGTTGCATACTTTATCTACGACGACCACAAAGAAGAATTAAAATCCAATTTTATTTGTTAAACATTTGACATCTGTCAAATGTCAACGGAATTAACCTTACTTTTCTCTAATTTATAATAAAGCTAACTTCAGCCCGTGACTAAAATGCCAAAAAGCCACTATTGCTAACTTCAGCCCGTGACTAAAACGCCATAAAGTCACAGCTAGTCAATGTAGGAACAGACAAACACACTTAAGTCGAGAGAAAACAGGCGCCTGTGATTATTGTAAGTTTTTGAAATACGTCAAAACAGCTGTCAAAATATTTATTTCAAAATGAATAAACCAGTCTTTGAAACAAAAAACGTAAAAATTGCTCTTTTTTGGCGTAGTGAGTGTATCTAACCCCTTAATTAATGGTCTTATATTTAATAAGGCAAAAAAAATGCGCTCAGGGAAATTTTTTAATTTTTTCATTAATTATTTATTGAAACGATGTAGAATCATTCCCTGTTTATAACTTTGGGGTTCTCGAACTTTACATCTAACTTTTTTAAACCACACCGTGCCATGTTTAATTGTCCATTACTTATGTTCGACTAGATTTCGCTCTAATTGTATTTTTTGTATCTACACTTATTTCCGAAATAAAAACTATTATTATTATTAAAAAAATACCAATTAATTAATTAAAATTTTACATTTTATGAATTCTGTTCTATTAATTAACAATTGTTTTCTAATGACATATATTTCCAAATACCAGCCATATTTTTCGGTTTATTGCAGGCAATGTATAACCTAGCAATTCAAATGTTCATTTAGCTAAAAGCAGTTGTTAAAAGATAAGCATTACCGGAGATTAATTAAAGAGTAGTCGTTATGAGTTAACGACTTTAAAAGTTAGTGAACAGCAGTTTTGCATTTAGCAACTGACCTTTAAGTTAACCACTGATTCTAGTGGTTAACTTTAACGACTCATGTTAGTGAATTGGCCTGAATAGCAATTTTGCATTTAGCAACTGACCTTTAAGTTAACCACTGATTCTATTGGCTAACTTTAACGACTCATGTTAGTGAATTGGCCTGTCTTTCAGATAGGTACCTAAATGTCAATTGTGCTTATAAATTTGAAGTTTAGAATTTTATATCTCGCAAAGTTGCCAAAGCTTAAATCGAGTCGTTCTTAAGATGAAGAATACATAAAAATAATTGCATATTTAACAGAATTTTTGATAAATAAAGATTTATTTCTTATATATAACTTATCTATACTAATCTACCTATACTAAATCGTTCTCTATTACAAATTTTAAAGGGATTAAAATGGAAAATTGCAATTTACAGGATATATCGGGCAACACAGCTCTGGTGTCTCAAGCTACATGTAGCTGCAGCCATTGATCAACGCTACAGCGATAAAGAATGGTTGCTATCTACATTTAAATAACGCTCATCTAGGTAAAATTTAGAGAATACCAAAATAAAAAATGTATTTATCAAAGTTGTTAAAATTCATTGTTAATTAAAGTCGTTGATTTAAGGACTCTCTTAGGAACTAAGTTAGTGAATCGGCCTGAATATGTAATTATTAGGGATGGGATATTTAGGTACTAAAAACTGAAAAATAGGTAACTAAAAAGGTACTAAAAAAAGCATTTTAGGTTAAAAAAACAGCATTTTAGGTAAAAAAAAACATTAAAAAAAAGTTTAAGTTTCGTTTATAATTTTGTTTAGCCGCATACCCAAACACAGAACATACCCACAATAAACTATTTCTATGCAATAAACTGTGTTTTACTGAGTGACACTCACTACACAGAAGTTGTATGACAGAACATAAGCTCACTAGTAGTGAGTCACTACAAAGAAGGTAACTGTAGAGAAAGTTACTGTTACAGTCTGTAACCATAAGAAAAAATTCTATACCGTTGAGTTTCACGCCCTGGATAAAATATTGGCGCAAATTAAAAAAAAAACAAAAAAAAATAAAATAAGGAAAAATACGTAAAAATAGGTAACAAATATATAAAAATAAACTGGCAAATTAAAAAATATGTAACAAAAGTATAAAAAGGTAGTTTAAAGCAAAAACCTCCAAAAAAGGTAAAAAAGGTGAAAAAAAGTTAAAAAATAGGTAACAAAAGTATAAAAAAGGTAGTTAAAAGCAAAAACCTCCAAAAAAGGTAAAAAAGGTGAAAACAAGTTAGGTTCATATAAAAGAAAATCTTTTAAAACACATTTTGGCATTATTGGTTTTCAAATAGTTACATCGGTTAAAAAAAGGTAAAATAACTAAAATCCCATCCCTAGTAATTATACTAGTATAATATATAGTATATATTATATATGAGTACATTAGATGCACAACTCTGTATTTGCAGGATAAGTGATTTTAAGAAAAACATGAAAACCCGCTCATAAGATCATTTTTGAAAAAAATATTTAAAAACATAGTTTGCATCTTGCATCTTCCTCGTTCAAAGACCAAGTTTTGCAAGTGAAAAGTGCAAATACCAAAAAATAACAATTAATCAGGTGATTGTTATAACAATTAATCAGGTGATTCTTATGTCGTCACGTAATGCGTATACTAGCGACGTGATTGTTCAACAGCAAATACCGAGTTTTGCATCCGACAGGAAGAAACAAATACCCAGTTTTGCATCTGCCCTAAGTTTTTAAATGTATTTTATTCTACAAATACTAACTTATACATCTGGTTTACTTAGGTATGCTGTAGGCAGTGCAGTAATGTACATAAATAGGATAAAATATATATTTTTTAATAGTTTTTTTTTAAAGGCTAAATTAAGGCAAAAAAATATAAAAATTTTTAGAATTCATATTTATTTTGTTATAAGATTAAAAACCTACTTAAATAATGAACTGCTTTGTAAAAGTAAGAAATACTCTAACCAGAATACAAACATATTTTATAAATATAATTTTTAACTAAAATTATGTTACTAAAGTAAGGCAAAAATATATAAAAAATTTTAGAATTCATATTTATTTTGTTATAAGATTAAAAAACTACTTAAATAATGAACTGCTTTGTAAAAGTAAAAAATACTCTAACCAGAATACAAACATCTTTTATAAATATAATTTTTAACTAAAATTATGTTACTTGTTACTTACATTGTAGAAAAATTAAATTACAAAACACAAAAGGCTTACGATCGATAACGCATAGCAATATATTTTGTATTTACTAAAACCACAAGTTATTTAGAAAATTTATTATTTACTTACAAGTAAAAATTGAACTTCGTAGAATAATCATAAATAAATTTTATATCGAAGAAACATATTAAAATTAATTTGTGGGAATTATTGATTATTTTAATAAAAAATGGTAAACTAAAATTTTACAACACATAAATAAAATTATATTAAATTTGGAATAAATTTGTTTGAAAAAAGGCACGATTAAAAATTATAACTGTTTTTACACAATATTTTTTTAATATTGCAATAAGGTAATTTATGTAGTAATTTGATCATGACATAGGTTAAACAAAATAATTGTCATTCAATGTGTGCCTCAGTTCGAAAGTGATGAAATCAATTTAACAAGTATAAAAGTTGTGATCCTAATAATCTACTTATCAGTCGATTTTTATTAACATCGTCTTCATTTAAACATGGCATCCAAAGTAAGTAATAATAATATTATAAAACCGTTTTTCTGACATAATTTTTTCTAGTTCATAGTACTAGCTGCTTTAGTAGCTGTAGTTAGGGGTGGAGTTGTCAGTGCACCAGTTGGAGTAGCTGCTAAAATTAGCGACGCCACTTTCGATCCAAACCCGCAATACTCTTTCGCTTACGATGTCCAGGATGCTTTAACAGGCGACAGCAAAAGCCAAGTAGAAAGCAGAAGCGGCAATATTGTACAAGGACAATACAGCTTGGTCGAACCTGACGGAACCCGTCGTATTGTGGACTACGTAGCTGATCCCATCAACGGCTTCAACGCGATCGTAAGAAAAGAACCACTTGTAGTTGCAGCTCCAGCAAAAATCCTTGCCAGAGCACCAGTTGCTTCAAAACTTGTGGCTGAACCAGTTGTTGCTAGAGCTGTAGCCAAGGCTGGTCCCGTTGTTGCCAAGGCAGTTTCAAGGAGTTCCAAACAAGTTGCCGCTCAGGCTGTTCCATTTGCTGCTTCTTCCGCTCAACTTATAAGTGCACCAAGCCCAATAGTGGCTCAAGCAGCTCCAGCTGTCGCTAGACTAGCCGCCCCTTATGTCGCCGCTCCAGCACCGTTAGCTTACCCAGCTTTCAGTCTAAACTATCCGTTTGCTGGACCTTTGACTTACGCCTATGTTTAATCGGCTGATAATGTTTTTAACTCAATAAATTAATATTATTAATTTACTAATAATATAAATTCTTTGTTTTTATTTATTTAATCAAATAATTACAATAAATAGAGTAAAAGTACAGTAAAATTGAAGCAGCTCTAGTAACTTATGCACCAGTTCCAGTAGCGACATAAAATAGCAATAGACTGATATATTAAAATAAAAAATATAATCAAAACTTTGCATAAATATGAAAGGAACTATCGGAGTTCATTAATATTAGTAATAATTATAATAATTATTAAATACAAGGCTTTTTTAGGTCATCTTATGCGAGGTAGATATTTTTAAATAAGGTTAAACAAAATTAAAAGCTTTATTTACTTTTATTTAAATTTCATTATGTAGGGCTATATTCAGTAATTGTTAATATTATGACCTGCTTGCAATTGAAACAAATAAATCGCTTTTAATGTTTTTTTCTCGGAAATAAGGCAAGATACGGAAAAGAGTAAAATGAAAAACAAGTTTTATTTCCAACTGTTTCATCTAAAACAAATATCAAAATAAATAAAAAAACAGTGTCATATTTTTTCTTCGTCTGGCAGGTAATCTGTTTACTTTTTAATTAGTTTTCTTTATTTGTTTAGTTAGTTAGACCAAGTTATAGGGGGTTTAATATACTCGGTATATCCTATATGATGTACAGTGGTACCACTGGTTACGGGTCTGGTTGGTTGGGCTGGGTAAGTTGTGTTGGGTAAATCTACTATTCTTTTTTTGACTTATGATACCGAAAAATTGGTTGCTGGACACCTCAAAGAAGAGAAATATCCTTCTCATAGCAATTTTCCATTTTCACATTCACTAACAAATGAATATAAAGCCACGGCCAATGAACATTTTGATAGTAAATTAAATGCTCTGATGTTTTTTTAGTAAACCTAGCCATTTAAAAGATATCTTAAGTCAAAATTTAAAAAATTAAAACAAATATTTTTTGTTCAAAGTTGTATAACTAAGTTTTTAGGTTTCTTTAGTTTTTTGATAAATGTAAGCGTTTTAAATATAATTGCAACTTTAGTGGCAACTTACACGTACACACTACCATATAAAATATTAATTTTGCTCTTTGTCTTACTTATTTATTAAAATAACTATTTTACATTTTTTTCAGAAATTTTATTTTATCAAAAGTTTTCCGGTAGAAGAGCCTCTTATTGGATGAGAGATATTTAAAACATCAATTAATCAGAGAAAAAACCCTTATTTTATTTAGTTAGGTATGCTAACCACTAGACCATTATACAAAACCACTAGACCACTAGACCATTAAACAAAACTTAGGTATAACGATTTGCAGGACAAGTTTGATATTTTTTCATGCAATTTCAACAATTAAAAATATTATCATAAGCACTTAATTTTATATTTTTTTATTCATATTTTGAACTTGTTTTGCCATAGGTGATATTGTAAATATGATAGATGGACTTCTCTTATTATATTAACCTTATATTTTTCTTCTCTTACCTGAGTAGGTAAATAGTAGGCATTAACTTTTCTCATCTTGTAATTGGTCTAATGACAAAGAAATTTTTTTTCTTGAACCTGATCAAGAAAAGCGTTTTCCTTTGATTTAATTGAAGTTAATTTCAAACAAACATATGGACGAAACAAGTCAAATTCAACAAAAAACTTTGATCTAAGATATCTTTTAAATGGATAAGTTTACGAAAAAAACATTAAATGCCTTTTTTGAAGAGAATTTAATTCCATATTAAAATTTGTATTCGGCGTAGCTTTATTAGTGAGATAAAAAATGGTTTTTATTGGACAAATGTGAAAATGGAAACTTTCAATAGGGAGGATCTTACACTAATAGTAAGAGCTCATACGTAGATAGGTCCAGCAACCAATTGTTTTTACTATCATAAGTCAAAAAAAAAAGAATAGTAGATTTTTTAAATCACCCTAGTGGTCATGGTAATTGCCCGCAATATGCGCACACTTTACACTGTTCAAAATTTCATGACCATTTTAACACCAAATTAACACCATAAATGGTCTATATCGATACAAACTAAAATGGTGTTAAATATGGTTCGTTGGTCCAGTGTAAATTCAAATACTAAAATAGTGGAAATTTAACTTTCACACAGTATTAAAATAAATTTTACCTGGTCTAAATTGAACTCCTTTTCATTGTTAAATATTATGTGTTTTTGTTCAAATTAAATCATACTACACAGAAAAAAAAAGGAAACAGGAAGTTCTTTGACGCATTACTAGTATATTACCAGACTGTTAATACCAGTAGTATTATTCCAGAAAATTAAACCTTCAACTCGCTAGAGATAATGTTTTTAGTGCGTTCCACCAACTTAAAATACTTCAAGTATTGACAGCTGTTTCCACCTATTTAAGGTCTGTTTAGTATCGAACAACTTGTAGTGTCACACCAAAGCAAAGGACTACCTGAGCTTATATACTCTTCATGTAAGTCAACAGAGGCGAGATTTAAGAATATCACGTGATCCACACCGCCTTTTCCGCGATCGGTACATACTATGCAACCAGGAATGCACGGCAAATTGTTTTACATTTTAAAAGAGTGCTTTAGGTTGAAGTAACTCTTATTTTACAAACAACATATTTAGTGAACTGAACCATACAGCGGGTTGGTTTCAATAAAGTTTTCTGGGTTAATTTAGCCAATTAACAAAAAAAATAACTATTTGGTTTAGAACCGTCAAACTAATCTTTGTTTATATTAAGCTTCCCACAGTTAATTTAAATAAACACTTATGGGTCAACTAAATTAATATAGTTAAATTAACTATTCCTTTTTTCTGTGTAGGTGCACTTCTCAAATATTTTTAGAAAAACACCGTTTTGGTGTTTGCTGTTTACAACCATAATTCATGGTGTTTATATTAACACCATTTGTTGTTGGATTTAGACACCATTTTAAGATTACGTTTTACACCACAGATATTTTAAACAGTGTACTCGATCTAATTTTTTGTTTCAATCGTTTTAGTGGAAAGTATTTTTCTAATTAATATTTTTAAATTTTTTATATTTTTTAAAATAACTATTTATTTTGCTAAATGAAAAATTCTAATGCGCATAATATGTGATTAATTCAATGCTTTAAGTATTTAAACTAAGGCGCGCTTAAATCCTACCTGTTTTTAAGTTCATAAAAATTAAATTTTAAAATAAAAATTGAATTATAAATCAAAATAAAAAAAAATAAATATTTATGAAAAACACTATTTAATAATCAATATCAAGTTATATATGTTTAATATTTACAAAATATTATATTAAATTCAATCAGTTTTAAACAACAGCATAATTTAGAGGAGCCGTAAATCTAGGATAAGTCAAAGAGGCTGTTGCCAAAGCAGGAGCGGCAATATAAGGAGAAGAAAAACGTGGGAAAGCTGGAGCAACCGTTAGTGCAGGATCACGGGCTGCAAAAATAGGAGCAGGAGCGGCCACTACAGGAGCAGCATGGACAGCTCTGTTTGCCACTACAGGAGCAGCAAATGCCAAAGGTGTTTTCCTTACGATAGCGTTGAATCCGTTGACGGGATCGGCGGTGTAGTCCACGATGCGTCTGGTGCCGTCAGGATCGGCAACAGTATATTGTCCTTGTACGATTCCGCTGTTACGACTTTCCACATGGCTCTTGCTGTCGCCAGTCAACGTGTCCTGGACATCGTAGGCGAAAGAGTATTGCGGATTGGGGTCAAAGGTGGCGTCAGATAGTTTGGCGGCTACCACAGGGGCGGCTAATACGGGCCCGACGGCAACGGGTGCCCCAATCACTCCGCCCCTGGCTACAGCGACTAATGCAGCAAATATAAATACCTGGAAATAGCGTCATTTTAAATGTTTAATTCAATGCTATTAAAATAATTAAATACGTACCGTTAATTGCATGTTGTTTTTTTACAATGAGTGACTGATAGAAAATAATTGTTACCCTCTGCTTTTATAGTTGAAAACGTGATGTGTCAACAGTATACACCGATGTAGAATATTAAGTATGTTTAAAAATTAATTTATAAGCAATAATTGGAGCAATACCTACATTTGAGTAATTTACCGAAAATATTTAAAACTATTTCAACATAAAATGATTAGGTACATTAAGCCTACAAATTATTTTAATTCGTGAATAAAATGGGTTAGCAATAGGTACTTCAAAGGCTTATGTTTGTAAGCTGCTTGTATGCACTTAACATTATCCATAATACCGTAAATGCTTTATTATTCAATCCAATAAAATAATAATAATAAAATAATATTATTATTAAAAATTATTTAAATTAATATATAAAAACTTAAATATTATTTAAGGTGGAACGCACCTCTCTTTAGAAAAAAAATATTACGAAAGGTAACTTAAACAATCATGAAAATGTGCTTTTTTTACTGCTTTAATTACTTTACTACAACACATGTTTGTACCTACTTGTTTTGCAAAGTAAAATTTGGAACTAAATAACGAGTTAGTTACGAGTTTTATTGGGCACTTGCGAATCTTGCGAGCGAGTTTTTATTAAAAACGAGTGTCTAAAGAAGTTTTTAAAACGAGTTGCATACTATACTTTATTTACGAACAACCGAAATAGGAATTTTAACTTTAGCCCGTGACTAAAATGCCCAAAAACCACTGTTGTTAACTTCAGCCTGTGACTAAAACACTATATAGTCTCATCTCCTTAATGTGGGAGTAGATAATAGTATATTATATATTATATATATTATATTTTTTAAACGCCATTTTAGTTACGGGTTTTATTAGGCTTATACTTTATCTACGACGAACAGAAAAATAAAAATTAAAAGCCAATTTTAATTCATAAATATTCGACTTCTTACGAATTTAACCTTACTTTTTCGCAATTTATAATAAATCCAACTTCAGCCCGTGACTAAAATGCCCAAAAGCCAATGTTGTTAACTTCATCCCGTGACTAAAATGACATAAAGTCACAGTTCGTCAGGAGTAGATAATATTATATTATGTATCAAATTTTAGAAACGCCATTTTAGACACGAGTTTAATTTAGGCACGAGCGATCTTGCGAGCGAGTACTTAAATTAATGAGTGTCTAGAAAAGTTTATAAACGAGTTGCATACTATACTTTTTTTACGACAAACACTTATTATCTAAAAATGATTTAAATTGAATATTTTACATCTAGGAAACAATAGAATTGCCGGCGAAATTAAAAGGTCAGTACAATGTTCATATAAACTTTTTAAATATTGGCCGTGAGAAACTATTTAACACTTATGAATTTTTGTGTTGAGATAATAAAATAATTTTTACATTTAACATTATTTTACGAAAAGGGCACTTTATTTTAACGATTGTATGACATTGAATATATAAAACTTAAAACTAACTTCAGCCCGTGACTAAACCCCTGTTGCCAACTTCAGCCCGTAACTAAAACGCCATAAAGCCACATTTTGTCAATGTGTATTTAAAAGTTCACTTAGTGTCATTGAAACATGCACGATAATGGGCGTTTTAAAGGTGGGAGTAGTAAAAATATTTTAACTCATAGTCTAGTCTGTAATTTAATTTTTTTCCTTGTGGAAGTAATTGTCTAATAATTATTATCTGTCTGCTTAGTACAGGTTGTTAAATATTCAACAATGATTTCTAATAAATACTATACTATAACATAATTATTATTAATAATACAAAGTTATATCATTAAATTAAAATAAATTATTATGAATAACACTGGGCAACAAATTTTAACTTTTGTGTTGTTTCCTGAACAAAAACTATTTTTTTGGATTCAACTACACCCAAGTAACTAAAAAATACCTATTTAAAATTTTAGTTGGCTCGCAAAAAAAATCTGAATTATTTGTTACAAACATTTTATTTATAATCATATAGAATGAACAAAAAACAGATAACAATATATTGTTGGTTCAATAAAAACAATCAAATGACTCATTTTTATCATTATATTTTGCGCTTCTTAGCCTGTCTTTTGAAAGCAGTCTCTGGAGCATCTCTCGTAATAGACCAGCAGTAGTCCGCTAACATCTCACAGTTCCATTTTCCTGATATATTTTTTCCATGTTTGAAATATCCTGTTGGAACCTCTCACCGTGCTCGTAAATCAACTATTACTTTATACAATTTATTAACTAACTAACGATTTAAGACTCCAGACATACAGCGTTGCCATATGTCTAAAAATGTAGTCGATTTAGATATCGATAGATATCGATACCCTTGTATACGTACAAATCCAGTGTTAAACAAATTTTATGTTGCACCCTCTCCAGCTACCCTTTTTAAATATTTTAAATGGCGCCTTATACCTACCTATGTCGCACATCATTTTAAAGGAAATTCAATTTGTGATCCATTAAATGTGAAAAAATTAAAATCCGATCCCGGATTTACAAGTTATAGCCGAAAAAGATGTGATATAAATAAAACAAAGAATTCCATAAAAAAATATTTTAAATATTCAAAATGTGCTCCGTGATTTGCTAAACAATAATACAATCTGTTTGAATTTCTGTAATCGTAATCTTTCTTTAATGTTAATTTTTTACATAAAATATGTCTAAAATTTTCTGAAAAATCAAAAAATTAATATACAGGGTGTTGCATTTGACATAAAAAATTAGTATTGGCCACTGCTACATGACACCATGTACAAAAAGTTTTTGTTGAAAAAAATGCACAACTAAAAATACCTTTTGGAGTACGCCCTCATTTATGTATTATCAAATTTATTCCATTTGGCTGATTACACACTGAATAATATGTATAACTGTTAGTTACACTTCGCTTCTGAAGATGCCAACATCGTTGGCGAAAAGTACTTTAAGCACTTTGTGTTTTGTTTTGGTGTTGGGAATATTTCTAATATTTGTTTTAAAAAGTTGTCTTTTGTTTTGTTTTGTTAAATAAAAAGTATATCACGTATGGCCGTGGTTTGGATACGTAGCTTAATATATCAAGGGTTTTTTAAACTTTTTCTCTGAATTGGTATAAATATTGTAATGTAATTATTTAGGTATATATTTTGATATACATTTTTAGAAAAAAAGGTGAAATAATTATTTTATTTAATAAGAGCTCAAATTTATAAAGATATTTCAAAAATCGACAAGTGCAATTAATATTTGTTAAACTTTAGTTGCAATTATATTTGAAACGCTTACATTTATCAAAAAAATTAAAGACATATTTTTGTAGATCAGTTAAATTCCCAACAAAGATGTGTACTAGTAGTACAGTACTACTCATTTTAAACCTCTTACTTTTCTGGGAGTTTTTATATAAAGCCCATTTTTACCGGTTATTGCATATTTGCAATAATGATGCATATATTTACTATATTTACAATTTTAATGTATCTACACAGAGAAAATGAACCAGTAAACATTGATGCGCGGGACAGTAAACCACTTATTTTCAATTCAAAATAATAGTTAATGTTTAAAATATTGATCACTACAGCTTCTGGCACTACTCATTGATGTCAGAAAACTAACAATTGCTGTTGTCAAACTAACCCGTGGTGTTTTATTAGAAATTGTATGATTTTAAGTAGTACACTGACATTGTACTACATTAAGCTAATTGAAGTTCTGGGCATCAATGGGTAGTTCTGTAATCAATGGATTCTGTTTTCTTTTGACTGTGTAGTTACTAAATTTCATATGACAAAACCGTGTCAATCGGCCTGCAAATTCTTTCGACAAACAGGCGCGTCTAGGTGGTCCATTTCAAAGGCAAGTCGATCGGCACGCGAGGCTTTTTTTTTGCTTTCGCCTACTCTTACTAGGCAAATAATTTACGCATAATTTATATTTATTTCTGCAAAGTACCTCCTTATGGTATGCTGCCAATCCTAAACATTTAAATACGACGAAAATATCTCATATTGTCAAGTTTGCGAGAAAAATATTTCGTGCTTAAACAAATTTTAAATAGACTAAAAACTATTGTTGTATTATTTTATGTGGTATATTTTGAAAATCATGCATTTTTTAGTAATTTTTCGTGCAGATATTAAGTTTTATGCCGGCTCTAATGGTACTTTTTCCCTTAAGAATGATTTGATAACTTACCAATACTCTTTAAACAATAATGTTCTTTTTTTTTGTCAAAGTGTTAATGATCTGAGCGTATTATTTGATAATAAATTAACATTTTCGAGTCCAAAAATCCTTAAGATCTAAAATTGAATACTGCTCTATTATTTGGTCTCCGCACTATAATAACTCAGTTATATTACTTGGAAATGTTCAACTTAAGTTTTTAAAACTTCTGGCATTTAGGCTGGATAATGTGTACCCAAACAGGGGCATTGATCATCAATTATTACTTGAAAGGTTTAATGTTGATTCGCTGCATTTTCGAAGAGTATGTTCTGGTTTAAATTTTTTTATAAAGTTTTTCACAACGAGATTGACTGTTCTAATATCTTATTTATGTTTAATCTACACAGAGAAAAATAAATAATAATATTAACTGTTACAAGGTAATAGTTATCCTTTAGTGGATTCGTATTCTGCCAAACCTATATGAACTAACAGTTATAATACTACAAGGTATAAAGAATTACTTAATCTTACCTTTCATTTATTAATAGAAAGATTTTGAAATATTAATAGTTAAATCACTTTAATAACTATTAAAATTGCCTTATTATTTTAAATATTGTATTTACTAACTGTTATATTATTTGGTTTTCTATTAGTATTTTATTATAATAATCACATTTTCTAAGTTATCAGTTATTTTTCCATCAGCTAATAGTTAATCTATGAAAGTAAGTAGTATGTTAGCATTTGATTATGCAAACAGCATGGTTCACATCATGGGCGCCGGAAGGAATTTGTCTAGGGGGGGGCCTTAAAGTTTTTTACAATTTTGATAAATGTTATTTATAATCAAGTTGTACTGTAGAAGTTCACATTAGACTTAAGTCAAATAAAATATCATCTTTATATGTATATTTACCTATTTATTTATATTGGTACATATTGCAAAAAATACAGTTTTTTGGTAAATATAT